GCAAAGAAAAATTTTTAGATATCAGGAATACATATTCTGTAAAACTAGTACATATCAATATGGCTTACCATTTGAAATAGTACTGGATTATTTCTTGAATGGTAGTGGATCAATGTACATATTTAGGAGTATTTACGAGTATCTATTTTTTTCCAATCAAATCTCAACCGTTCGAGACGCTACCCAGCACAACTCAGCCAATCACTTTGTAGTATTATGGTTTAGGGCAGGACATTCAGCTAAACAAAAAAATAAACATGGCAGTGGAGAAGCACGCATGTGTAGCTGCCGCTATCAGAAGTTCTTTGTCAGAATAAACAATTTTACCTTTAAAGAAGAATAGCAAGAAGCTGTTTTTACCTTCGGATTTGCTATGACCATATTTTGGTTGGCAGGCATTAGGCCCAGTCCCTCATTCAGCTTGGATAATTGAATGTCTCTCTTTTCCCCAAACATAGTATGTCATTTTTAAACATCAAGCTTCCAGGAAGCAGAAGCTGGATGAGGGCCTGATGAATTTCATCCTGAAAGACTGCCAGCCCCTCACGATTTTGGAGAACGAAGGGTTCAGGGAACTGGTTCAGGATCTTGGGCCCGCACATGTTTTGCCAACCAGAAAGGTTTGTGTGGAAATTATCTAAAGTGAAAGTTTTATTTATCCAATTTATTTTATCTTTAACTAAAAAATATAGATTTTCTGTTAATAAACCAGTGAAAATGGAAGTACAGAAAGCTGTGGCAGTGAGTACAACAGCTGATATGTGGACATCTGTGAACATGGAGGCTTACTTGGCTCTTACCTGTCACTACATTAATGAGAATTTGCAGTTGTGTACATCTGTGCTGAGTGTGCAATACTTTCCACAAAGTCAAACTGCTGACAATTTGGCAAGTAAAAGGGCTGTGATGGATAACTGGGCCAAAACAAATAAAGTAAATTGTCTTGTGACCGACCTAGCACCAAAGATAATTGCATGCTCTAGACAGCTCCAAATTCGGCACTCAATTTGTATTGCACTGAGTCCCAATTTATTGGTTAGGAAATCATGTGATCACATCCCCACTATTACATCCATCAGACACAAAGCCATGCCCATTGTCACATACATCAGATCAAGTAATACAGCCAAGGATAAGCCTGCTCCAGTGCAGCAACAGATGGGACGACCAACCCTGAAACTCATCATTTCATATGTGGAACAGCACATATGAAATGCTGTCAAGGCTACATGATGAGAAGGAAGCACTGTGGGTATCTCTGGCCTCTCTAAAATCAGATATGACTCCACTTACAGCCGATGAGTTTACCATCATAGGAGAAACACATCTTGTGCTTTCTCCTTTCCATCAAGCTACAGTGGAGTTGTCTGCAGAGAGGCTAGTGTCATGGTCAAAGGTCATCCCAACGATGAAAATGCTTTATATGGCACTAGAGTGCAATGGTTTAACCTTGCACACTGAGGCAGCAAGAGACCTACATGAACACCTGAAGCCTTGAGTCACAGACTCTATTTCTAACCTGGAGTCATTAAGTGTGTTGACCCTGGCGACACTTCTAGACCCCAGGTTTAAATCGAGTGGGTTCTGCAGTTCCTCAAAGTGCAAAGAGGCCATCAGCGTACTGTGGTCCTAATGTGCATCTGTAATTGGAAGCACAAATGAGCCACTGCCAGGAACATCTTCACAACAGCAATCTGCCCCCACCTCAGGCATGATACTGAGGATTATTTGCTTGTTGTTTATAAATCATGGACTAAAATGCAATTCTGTTTTTTTGTTTTTTAGATAACCTTTGGGAACATCTTGACATTGAAGTGGGGAGGCAGACCAAAAGTGCCACAGTTGATGCCACCCAGGAGATGCACAGATACTTGGCAGAGGGAAATGTTGCTAGGTCCCAGGATCCTCTTGTATAGAGGAAAAACCCAAAGATTGTCTATCCAAACCTCTTCCGCCTGTTCTTACAATTTCTCTGCACTCCAGCCTCATCTGTGCCGTGTGAGCGGGTGTTTTCCACAGCTGGAAAAGTGATCTCAAAAAGGGCGTAACAGACTGAATTTCAAAACTTTGGAACAACTTTTTTTTTTTTTTTTTTTTTTATAAAAATTTGTAAAAAAAGAAAAAAAAAAACATATTTAGAGGTTATTACAAAATGACACAGATTCACATTATTTACTGACTGTATCTAAAATATCAAAGATGTTTTAAATTGAAATGAAAATATGAAATTATACAATGCACCATACAATGACTTAAATTGTATTATTGTGTATGATAGGTCATAAAATAAGTGTCAGTTAAAGCTGCAGTCTGTAACATTGAGAAGAGAGCAGAGTTCGACTGAAAATTTGAAGAAAAACAGGTTTCACGCCACTCCCCCACCCTCTCTGCTTCACTCATGCCCCACCTCCAAGCTCCACCCCTCTCACAGCATCTGTGCGGCTACCGCATGCGACCAGAAGCGTCCAAGCAGCGTACGCGGCATGGAGTGTGAACCGGTAAGAGCGATAACACTCACCTCCAAGCAGCTAGATATAAGATGCTGGTTACACCGAAGTTTGCCGTGTAAGCAGCTGTCGGCAGGGGCAGTAAGGGCAAGTAAGGACTCTGTCAACTAGGTTGCCTGTAGTGATTTTTAACATCCAGTAGGTCTCAGTATTCAGCGACACAGTGCATGCGCCGTATCAATACAGTTTGGAAACGCGTCGAAACGTTTTACGACGGCTCATCAACCCATCACTACGGAAGCCGGCAGACCAAACCAGATGAAAGTGCGCATTCAGCGTCTGCTCTGCCAATAATGCAAGCGTAGAAGAAGAAATGTGCTGTTTACCTGTGCAAAGAAAGAAACAACGAAAGAAAAATGTCTGAGGACTTCAGTGTTGAGGAAGAGCATGAGTTCTTTGCCGAGCTGAATGCGCTGGTTTGGTCTGCCGGCTTCCGTAGCGTCGTGATCGCGCATGTGCGCGCTTTCAGGAAATCCTATACACTACTGTTTATGCTCTAAAAACGTTCTAAATAACTTCGTTTCGAGTAAATTCTGGATGCTACCCACTCAGGACACTTGGAATACATTGGACGAGCAGTATGGAGGAATACTGACACGTTTTTTGTGGACTTTTAATGGACCTTTCTGCCTTGGGCACCACAGACCTCCATTATTTGAATGTCAGCAGACAGCAAGAAGTCTCCCAGATCTCCAGATGCATTTGAGATATCAAAAAAGTACTCCAGAGTGTTGTTCAGCATGGGGGTGAGTAGAAAATGAAGGCTAATCATGTTTTGGGTGTACTATTCCTTTAAACAGAACCATAAAAGTGCAGAATCATGACAGCTTATTTTGAGGTGAGATACCCTTTAATATTGAACAATTTTTAAACATCACCACCCATGATGTTTGCATATACTTTTCATAACTAAGCTTTTCGAGTCTATTATGCTTTTGGTTTTATTGATGTCGGACCTTTTAACATTCACTTTTTAACGTACCCTAAGCACGGTTTGTAAAGCTAGATATTTTGTTCAGCTACATTTAATCTCAACATTTTTAGAGATTTTAATTTGAGATTATTTCCATTCAACCAAACTCTTTGTTTAGAGATAGATATGTATGATTAAAGATTCTCTTAATAATAATATCACAGTTTTAAGTATGTGTTTTTAGATATCTCTAATTAAAAATGTCCTTGAAGGATTGAAACCCTTCTTATGATCTGATGATGATTTTGCACAGTTCTATTGGTATTTCAATTAATTATCTTTGGTGATGAGCTCAAGGTCTTTGAGGTTGAAAGGCCTCCTTTCCATTGCTCTGAGCTTTATCTACCTCCCTCAGAGAATTAGCTTTCCTTCCATTAAGGGTGAAGCATGTGTTCCTATTACACAAACAAGTGATGTTTTTCCTTAATAACTCAAACGCTTCTGATAAAAGCTATGTTGTCTGCACTCGATTATGGGGATATTGCAAATCTGTGTGCTTTAACAAGTTGCCTACAGTCCTTGACTCAAGTCTACCACTGTGAAGTGAGATTTATCACTGCTGTAGGTGCCCCATCCTCCACTGTGAACTGTATGCTAAAGCTGGCATGCGTTCCTTGAAGGTAAGGTCTTATATGCACAAGATGACTCTGGCTTACAAGGCTCCTATTGAGGTGATTCCTCTTATTTATACACATTTCTTCAGGAAACTGAAAGTCATTATGCCTTAGGTTCAAATGTTTTTTATTTTTTTTTGTATTCCTTCTTACATTTTCTTCAAACTGAAACAGTAAAGAAAGCTTTCATTTCTCCTTTCTCCCTCTGTATTAGTTGGTTTTTTTACTTCTGCATTGTCTTACTAAAGCAGCCAATTAAACTCCTTTGAACAGAGCCTGTGTTACAAACCTGTGTTAGTTTTAAATTTGTTACAGTAACAAAAAGTCCTGCATTTTATGTGGGAAAAAGGTCGCAGTTCACAAATATTTCAATGGTTATCTAATAAAGCCTGCAACAAATTAACATGACTGTTAGGTTATGGTCTTGCCCATAGACTGCTGAAGATCACAAGGACAAGAATTAAGCAGGGAATAAATGAATGGATGAATGGAAATGTTACATAAATTTGGAGCCTTGAAAGTAAAATTATTTTAAAAATAAATGTCCTTTTGGGGTTGATAAAGACACATATGCAGAGAGTGGCTGTGTCAAAAAGAAAGTTTTAATATTTAAATGATAAGAACACTTACATTTAGATAAGCAGAAGAAAAACAAAAGTTTAAGAGGGCAAAGAAAAGGAGTTAAGAAAGGGAGCTTAAACACAGAGGCAGGGTTCGAAAAACGGCAGTTAAACTAGAGGAGCAATTGTAAGTAATGTAATTAAAAATCAGTATAAATCCAGCCTCTATATTAAGACCTCTGATGCTTGTTGGAGAATATTAGCAAAGTAACAGCATTAGCTAGAACGACCAACCCAGCAGACAGATCAGGAATAATGAAACAAAAGTAAACCACAGTAGTGTTAATGAGGTGTATATATCTAAAACTTTTAATAATCCATTGTTTTTACATAGAAACAATATGGCACAAAGGCAAACTTACCAAAATGAGGCTACTACATGAGGCTAAGGCCAGAAATTTCATAGAACTAGGCTGAGGTTTTAAATATACAGACGTTAAAGAACATACATTTCTGGGTTTTCATTCAACATATTAACACTTTTCAGAATAGAATGGCCTTTATTTTTTAGTTTAGTCCTTTTATTGACTTTTCTTTTATGACTTTCTATTTGGCATTTCTTTACTCTCATATGGCGGAAATGGGCTTCCATACTAAGCTGCAATCAAGGTGCTAATTAACATTGTCTTCCTCAAAGAAAGTTCTGTTTAAGGATTTTTTGACCTTTTTCTCTTTAAATTTGATGTTTAGATTTTTTGCTAAGAAGAATGAATATTATTAAAAATTAGCTTTTCTACTAAAGCTAATTCTGAAACCTACCGGTAATAGGGTTTATTTTAAAGCAATGATAGAAGTTTTGGGCCTTTGGTAAAGTTTTATTGAAAGGGGTGAAAAATGGCCCTTGGGTTCTCAAAGATTTCCGACTACTGTATTAAGCTGAAAGGGAAACAAGAGATTCACAGCTAAGGTGGGAGCATCTGTTGCTGTTGTGTCAACCTTTCAGACCACTCAAGTCTTCTGGTTCAAGTCTCTCTGTATCACCAGAACCAAGAGTAGAAACATGGAAACATGGAGTAACAGCATTTAGTTTTTATGCTGCACTAAAGTAGAATAAACTCCTAAAAAATTGCTAAAATGCTGAAATCCTTAATTCTTTCAAATCACTATAATAAAACACATTTACTTAAAGATGACTATGACTTTTCTATTTAAACTATTAACTAAAAGTGAGTTAAGTTGTGAGTTTCAGTCTATGGTCCAACTTTTTCTGCATGTTTCTTCATGATGCCACTGATATGCACTTAAATATGTTTTTTTCTTATGTTTTTGTTGTTTAAAATGTGCTAATATTTGTTAAAATGGGGATTATAAATAGACTTGCCTTGCCTGCTAAGAACAGGCATCATGCTGCATAGATGCCTGTCCTTAGCAGGGGATTTCAGTCTCTACATGTGTAATGCTGACATCTAGAGCACTTGTAAGGCCTTTACTTTGTCGGGAACAAAAGAAATTGATGACCATATATCATTGTTTCATAATTTCAAACTTGTATACTATTTTACATCAGACTTTCTTCTAAAATCCTGCTAAAATACAATAACATTCATGAATAATTAAAGCATATAAGGTATTGTAAGCTGTATCCAACAGTTTCTTTTTTTGCATTAAAACTCTGGAATAAAGTAAATAAAAGTTGAAAAAAGCAAAACTACTCAGAATATCATCAATACCAACAGAACTATCTAAAAAAATTCATGATTTCATTTAAATGAAAAATTTCATAAAAGATAAGTCTTTTTGGAGACAAGGCTCTGACTTTCCAAACATGAATATTTTTACTCGCTGTCATATAATATTTGAATAACGGCCAATTTAATGCAGGCATCTATTCACTATTCCCTGCTGTCACCCAAAATTGAACTTGTACCTTCTTGAGAAGAACAATACCAGGAAAATACTTCTAAATAGAAGAAATAAAGGTTCATTTGTTCAGAAACGTGTCTTTGGATCATGAGAGACCACATGTTTTACCAGCTTTAATACGACTAATGAGATCCTTCATGTTTGCTGTTTGGGAGAAAATCGAACAGTCAGTGTCATGTGAATTCAATTAGAATAACAGGAGATTTTCCTTTTAAAAACAAAATAAATAAATACATTTTTACATTGAGGCTTGCGCATTAAGAATTGTTTGATTTAAAAAAAAAAGAAAATGTTTAAGTAAATTATCAGATAATGTATTTAAATCTGGGGGGAAAAAACAGTCATATCCACATACAGACTAAGATGAGTCTGAGTCTGTATGTGAGTCTGGGAAGGGAGATCTTCTTCTACCAGCAACAGCGCCATCTTGTGTCGCTTTTTTGATGCAGCCTCACAGAGTTTTGTCACAGCCCTGCTGCCTGCTAGGGATCATCCTGGTCACATCAATGTTGTTGTTGGCAAAGGTCTGCCTGGCCTTCTCCAGGGTGGTGTCCGGAAGGCTCCGGGTGCGGCCCAGGATCCAGGCGAAGTCCACATGGAATAGCCTGAGGACGTCAGTGCAGGAATACACCAGGGCAAAGTTCTCATAGTCAGTGGACAGAATCCAGTATGGGGTGTAAGGCAGGACTGGGTGGAAAAAACACAAACATTCAGGTCAAAAAAACTGCAAAATGAGGTGTTGTTGCTCCTATTTGCATCAATGTCTCCCCACTGACCATAGGAATAACTTATTCCCAGCTTGGCTGGATTCTTCGGATCCTCTATCACACCTGTTCCTCTGATTTTCTTCACTTCTCCTTTTCTGTCAAAGACACACAAATTTGTGCCACGTTAAATCATTCCAACAATTCGACATTTACACAAGGTACCCGCTCTCAGCCACTCACAGTATTTCCGAGCTGACCACTCGAATGGAGTTGTCTGTCATCAGAGTGAAATTGGTCTCGATGCAGCGTCCCTTCTCAAACTGGGCCGGCAGCTTGGCAATTTCAAACCATCTCCCCATGAACTGTGAGGGACAGGGACATGCAGGTTCAGAGCCAATTTACAGCGACGTGAGAGGAGACTATGAATAAATCTACATACTGGAATGGGTTTATAGAAACCTATGACAGGTTACCTTTCAGACATACCCTCTACTTGGAAAGGCATTAAGTTTTAACTCTGCAAACTAATTTTTTTCCCTGATGTACAATATACTCTAAAATGTCTTATGTAGTCTGCACTTGCACTTTTCTTTAACATTTTGCTTCTTTTAATAAATATATCTACACACTAAGTTGAAAGCTGTTATGAACGATAAAGAACCTGAAAAGAAATCAAATTTCAGTCTTGTGATAAAATTGTGGAAAAAATCTAAAATACATTTTAGGCAGAGACAAAACACATTTGCCATCACTGATTTTGAAATATATAGATTTTTCTAGCTCTTATTTTATGTCACTTGCTTCCAGCACCCCCATCCTTCACTGGCTGAAACACCAAAGGCTTTGAGATCTTTTTTTCTAATTTTAATTTTTTATGATATTGCATGAATAATTCAGTTGTATTTTTTTAATTCAGAACATTACGCACAAGATTTATACACCTGGAAACTTCAGTCAGTAGAAAAATTGATTTACAACATAACTTATACGTATTCTGTTTTAAAGTTACTTTCAAAAATGACATTTTGACGCTTTGAAGAAAAAAAGGAAGAAAAAAAAAAGGCCCCTTAAGTGTAAGATTTGAATGTTTATGTAGAAGGTAATTTTGTTTTTTATTATACAAAAAGATATGTGGTTGTTCAAAAGAAATGTAGGACTCCTGCTGAGAGCCCTTGGCTTTACCTGTCTGAGGGTGAAGGCGGGCTGGACTTCTGGTTCTGGACATGGACCCCAGTGGGGAACCTGAGCCCGGATGATGGGGAGGATAAGAAGAAAAATCGAAGCCAAAAACATCCTCATGATAACAGCAGGCTGCTCTATCGGCAGAAAAACAAAGGTCATAGATTTTCTTTTTTATTTCAGGAACTAAACATTTTAAACCCAGTTTGACCAGAAATAAATTTTCCACTTAAAGATATAGCAAATGTATATTACCTGTTTCGTTTTGCTTTGTAGATCCGTGCTCTCTCCTCACAGATTCTAGAGTTTGACTCCAAGACGTTTTCCTCCACGAGGTTTTAACACAACTTGGTCATCAATGGGATTCTTTGTTTTTCTCCAGCTTTATTACAGACGTAAAGTCAGTTATTAACAAATGAGAGTCATGGGGGACGTACCAGCTGGAATGTTACAAAATTATCAGAAGGTTCTGCTGCTTGAGGAGGGCAGCAATAGGAAATGTTGATCCTGTTTTCCTATTTTTCTGTTTTCTTTTTTACCTATCCAAGTTATGTAAGTTAATTGATTCCTGAAATTTGCATGCCGATAGGATTTTGTTTTTTGAATTTTTTGAAATGTTTTTAAGTTTTCTCCATGTTCAATGTTGAATACATCCTGTATAATATGTTAGAAAATGTCAAAAGTGTAAAAGCATCAGTAACCTGATTTCCTTTCTGTGCACACTTTAAAAAAAATTAGATGTCATAACTTCCCAGCAACAAAGCATTGTCATCAATGTGACATGAAATATAGTCCAAAAAAGGTTTCCCTGCATTGTTTGGCCGGAACTCTCGAGTGGGGGCCTAGTGATGAGGGCATGGAGCTTGGTATTCTGAAGTTCTGAGTTGGAGCCCCACTCCCACAGACTGCCACTCTGAGTCGCTGAGCAAAACCCTTAACCCAACACTGATCCCCGGACACCACACAATGGCAGCCCACCGATCCCCAGGGTGGATGGGTTGAATCCATAGGTACATTTCTCCAATGTGAGATCAATAAATTTCAATAAAAAAAAAAGATTAAATTGCAGATAGTGCGAATGGAGCTTTCTAAACAGTCGACATAATCTCACTGTACACAGGTATAAGTCTAGTTAAATTTCACTGGATTATGCTGATTTACTAGTATGTAATCAAGACAGACTGTAAAATGGAAGAAATCAGTTACATGTTAAGATGGTGAAGAATTTTCTGTATTTCCAAGAAATGTTGATGCAATAAGATTAATAGAAAACCAAGATCAAATTCCTTGTTTATGTGAACAAACCTGGCCAACAATGATAACTCTTTTCTGTTATCATTGGTCAGTGGAGTCTACATCCACAGCTGGAAAAGAATCAGTTCATGAAAGATACTAACATTTTTGGAACAGCCTAGCAAGGGTCCAGAAATAGATCATACATACATGAAAACATGCCGTTACCTGAAGGAAGGCCATTGGATGCATGGAGAGCCGTTGCAAGGTGAAAAAGTTCAAGATGTGGAGAGGCTGTTAATCTACCAAACAGCGTGAATACAAAGACAGAAACAGACTGACTAGAACTAGCTGTCATTATTCAGAGAGCAGAATATAACATATTTTCCAGGTTTGGAGAACTTGCAGATAAAAAAAATAACAGAGCGTTTTCACTGTTAAAACATTTGCATTCTATTTTTATAGCCTTAAATATTTACTAACGTTTATTCCCATTAGCCTTTACAAGCATGTCTGCATTTAAACTTTTCAAACTTTTTCTATGGTCTCCTGTAGTTTTGTCACATGTGAATCAAATCCCCGTCCCTGAACATGATAATATGTGTTCTTCTGAGCCTAAATGCTTCCTTTGGTGTCATCCAATCTGAGTTTCTGAATAAGCTTGACTTTGACTAGGCCTTCAAACAAAAACATGCTTTGCTCACAAGCATATTATTGTAGCGCTGGTTAAATACTTTTTAGTTCAAAGGTTTTCTCTCAGAATTATCTTACATTCAGCCCCATCTGCCTCCAATTCATTTAGACCAGGTTTCCTGTCCCTGCTGAAAACATTCCCACAGTATGATGCTGCCATCACCATATTTTGCTTTAGGGATAGTGTGATCTGTGGAAAGTACAGAATGAGTTTCCCATCCTAAAGTTTTTTGTTTTGTTTTTTATGTTGGCCAAATAAATAGATAAGTATCAAAGCATAACATATTTTTTTATATTTTTTCCTGTGTGAAGCGTCCAATCTGCATCATTTTCCTTCGGCTTTACAGTACTAATGCACTCCTTTGGATGCATCTATCATATAAACCAATAAAATACATTGACGCTTGTGGTTGAACCATAATGGGGAAAGGTTCAAGGGATATGAATATTTAAAAAATTCCCTTTTTCACGAGATAAATAGATGTTGTGAAGCAAAATAAAAAAGTTTAAAACCTTAAGTAATTTCACATAAAACACAAGTTGTTAGACCCTGAGTCACTGAGCTGACATTTTACTATGGAAAGAGTCCTGTTGCTCTTTGATAAAATAGATATTTTCATCTAAACACTGTGAATGGCATGCAACAACCTATGAAACGCTGGCTGCTTCTAGACAAAGCCCCCTGGCAACAAACACGTTTAAATTAAAGTAGAAAGAAAAGATCAAAAGGCTCAATTTCTTGCTCATCTTTTTCAGAGAGGAATGACTTGTTAGCTTTAACCATATACATCAAAGCCTGGTTAAAGCAGAGGCGACTGCTTTCTGCCTGAATGAAAGCAACGAGCTTGACTGGTCAGAAGATCAAGGAAAGAGCCAAGCAAGCAGCCAAATGGGCTGCAGCATAATGGGAAATATGAAAGAGTTGAGAAATATGTTAAAGATACAGGATGAAAAGATAGGTTTCTGAGGACACTTCTGAGTCTTAATTTTATCATAGGGTTGTATATTTTGATTTTCCTGTTTGTGCTGGTATCCTTTCCACTAATGTTTAGTGAATTTCAAGCATCATTTTACATCGCTTTCAATCAAAGGTTTCCAGGTTCCAATCCCTACCTAGTGGCTTTCTACATGTAGCAGGCCTGTTCTCCTCATGCTTAAACAGGTTCTCACCAGATACTCTGACTTTCTTCCCATGGTTGTCCTTAGGTAAGAGAGAGAGCATCCACGATTGTTTGTTCCCTTCTCACTGTTTCCCTATGATGGACCTGTCAGGGTGTTCCCTGCCTCTCAGCCGATGATTACGGGAAATCAGCTGCAAAACTTTTCCACAAATAGAAGGAGGCAAAACCTGAACAACACAGAACAAAACCTTTTTTTTTCTTTTACGGGAGCACGATCAGGAAATGTGTTTTAGTTCTTGCCTCTATCACTTCATAATCTGTGAAACTTACCCTGGTTTGAAATCTAGCGAGTTTATCTGTTTTTCACTTTGTATGATTTTCTAAAAGTCAGATATGTGAGGATAGTCTTTTTACTATATTTCTCATTCCCATCCTGGTTCCATAATCGTCATTCCTATATCCATGTCCTATATCCTGTCCCACTCATCTTAACTTCCTTCTACTCCATCATCTCTAGCTCATTTCTCCATCTTCCCTATCTCCTTTTTGTCTTACCTTTTCCTCCACACTAAGTTCCCACTCAGCCATCTTTCCATCCTTATCCATTACCCCTAACCCTTCACCCCTAATTCCAACTTCCTTTAGTTGTCACCCCTCCTCTATATCTCCTACAGCCTTCATTTCTACCCTTAGTGTTAGTATTCTTTCTTCCTATCAAACATCCTTTCTACGCTCTATACCATTTATTCTCACCAACTGCCCCAGACTTTATCCCATACTGCTTCTCAACATCTCATCCATTCTGAAAGATTCTTATTCTAGGATCTGGATCCATTTTCACCTGGTTCTAAGGGTTGATGTCCAGTAACCTTTAACAGCAGGTCTCCCCAGATGTTTTCAATCAAATCTCCATATAATCTTCTCCTATTACATTACAAATATAAAAGACAAAAACTGATATTGAAGCTTGGAGTTTGCTGCAGTTAAATTGGACAGAAACGCAGTGTATGCCCACCCTGCATACAGGCTCTGCTGTTCTGATTAGAGCAGTAAGTATTGCAAAGGGAGTATTGGCTTTCTATGAGAATGTATTGTTAGTGTTTGTTTGAGTTACTAAAATCTGGTAAGGCACTCTGTTAAATAAATAATGCAAAAGAAAATAAATCAATTTTGCCTCTAGATTGTAAGGCAGAGAATAGAATAAAATGTTTTTTTTCAGCTATTCCACATTCTGCAGTCTGAGTTTTTTGTGTCCACTTGAGGGCAGCACAAGACTTTTTAGGCTGTCAGGCTCCAAAGTTAAATGATATATGATCCATGTTACCCTTTGTTTGGTAAATTAATCAATTACAAGCTGTTATAAGGCTGTTATATTACCTCATATTAAGCTTTCTGCTGTCAGGCGTTTGCTTCATTTATATATTAAAAAAGGACAGTTTTCAATTTAAAAAAAAAAAATAAAGCCAAGTCAATATTACCGCCTGGCCTTTTAATAAATTGATTTAAGTGTGTTTACTAGACAAAAAAGATTTTTGATCTGTGTCTAGGTCACTTTTGTTTTTCTAAAACGAAAAAGTTGTTTTTTATTTGCACACCTAAAAGATGTTGTGTAAGAACGGCAGCCGAGAGTCACATGCCAGTGCATATGCAGCCATGCTGTAGATGCTCCTGCAGCTGTGCACACATATACAAACTGTACATTATCACAGAGGGAAGGAGGAAAGGCCTGCATGTGTCTAGTAGCACATGTGTACATGAGCTTGAGAATGTTTCCTGCTGGTCAGGGGAAGACAGAGGTCATATCCTCAAGGACAAACTCCCATCTGAACTGAACCGACACTTCTGGGGATTTGACTCAAAATATTTTTTATTAAATACATAGGATACAGCAACAGTATGGTTGAAAGATGTTTCTATCCTCTATAAATGGCAAGTTTAGTTTTCATCAGTAAATTACTTATGGTTGCCATCATAGGTGGACAAAGACTAACTGCTGAAATAATAAACCACAATCCAAGTCTAAAATAAATGGAAAAAAATAGCATTTTTAATTTTGAGGGGAATGGGAGAGCTTACAAGTCTGCATAAATCATCCTAACTATGTAATTCAGAACTGGCAGTACCCTTTTTTCTGCAAGAGGGACTGATGTGCTCCACAAATTGAATGGCATCTTAAAGAAAAATAATGTCTGGAAATATTAGAACAACAGCTAAAGAACTCAGCTAGCTTAAGATTTAAATGGGTCTTCTAAAAAAATAAATAAATAAACAATGACCTGCACAACAAGGTTTTAGAATTACCGGCACAACATCCCGGTACAGCCTCAAAGGTCTCT